ATTACTGCTTGCCGGCAGAAACGGGTAAGGTGGCAGTACTTCCCTGATAATTTTACCAAAAATGGACGAAGCTAAAGCTAACATTCCAAAATTACTCATTTTACGAAAAATCATATTTGAAAACTTCGTGATAATTTAAAACCGCCCTTGGTAATAGTATTTACTTTAATATACAATAAAAATCCGACTGACCTCATTCAATTTTTACGAGTATGTTACGCACAAATCGCACGTTCCCATTTAACCTCTCAAAGGTACATTTATTTGACCAGCGAGGTTACGAAGGCAATCAACTGTTAATTAATTATACGACGCATCGTAATTAAAATCTATAAATTTACAACGTTGTTTTAGTTCATCCGCTCTCTACTCGTAAGCTTAACATCAATACAAAGTATTTTATAGTTAAAATGTTTTGTACGAATACTTTTTTAGTTACGAGTATGAGTATAGAAAAGGACAACGCGATAAATATTCATGAGATTGAGTAAATTGCATGCTGCATTCTCGATCTAATCGTCACTTACTCACCCTGAGTTGGAAGCAAAATGCAAACCTCTATGTTATAAAAAAATTGCATTCGCAATCACGGTGATATAGCTTTATTGACGAGGTTGTTTATCTTAAAACACGTATCTATTGCTATCCATATCATATGTACCTGTAGTATAACACAGTTATAGCTATCTTTACCATATATCTAATTGGTTTCTAAACATGATTACTGGCAGGCTGAGAATGTTATTGTTGTTTTCATATAATATTTTGCTACGGAACTCGCGAACACAAACATACATAGTGTTCACGCTCACTCGAACGCACGCACAAACACACGGAACATACAATACAAAGTAAAAAAATCATTTATTCCATAAGCAAAATAAATTTACACTTGAAAACGTCATTTTTAACCGACTTAAAAAAAGGAGGTTCCCAATTCGAATGTAAGTTTTTTTGTACCTATGTGTGTTACGCGATTACCCCGGCACTTGTGAACTGATTTTGACGACTTTTTTGTTGGAAAGGGCGTACCTCAATAATGGTCCCATTTAAATTTGAAGAAAATATTCCATTTCTAAGGGTGACAACTAGGGGATGAATGACTTTTGAGGTCGGTTTTTTTATTAAGCTGCTTCTCGTTCATTGTGCAGACTTTCCTGAAAAGAACGAGCAAGAATCTCCAAGGATTGCTCTTTTCAAATAAACTTAAATGCACCGTGAATCAAATTCGTGCAGAATCTAGAGGCAGGTCGTCTTTCCGTTCATTTTTATCTAACACGTAGTCTTCAATTATACATTATACATTACATATTCATAATATAATAAATATAATAAAACTGCCTCTGTAGCCGAACGGTTACCATGCCGGACTGCCACGCAGAGGTCCCAGGTTCGATTCCCGGGCCGGGAGAAATATTTGTATGGCCTGCATTTATTTCTCTCGTGAGTTTGGGTGTAATTTGTGGTTGTCTATACATATATGTCTCCATGGCACCCGCGACACAGGGTTTCCCTAGTGCGGGGCTATGTTGAGTGTGTGCGTTATTATTATTATTATTATTATATATATTTTAAAATATTAACGCTAGTCATATTTAAACACAACATTGAAGAAAACCGTCTGCTACTTGACCGCACACATGATTTGTTTTTATTTAAATCTAGTCTGAGGGTGAGGGTCTCTATAAGCTGTAATACGGGTCTTGTTGTCTACTACGGAATCCAGTCTCTCACAAGGGTTACAACATTTAGCTTTTCGTTTTTTTTAGTTTTCATCTATTACTTTGTACTCAGATAATAATACATCATCATTGTATGCGATATTTTTTTTATGATATATCAAGTGAAGGTACGAACAAATTTGTGCATCTGGTGGTAAGGGACACGCTTGTTCCTTAGCAATTGCAGTGCCACTCAAGGGGCACTACCACTACAGTGACATAAGTTAACAAGTCCCATGTGCCTGTAATTGCACCAGCACCCTTACCCTTCAAAACCGGAACGCTATCCTTCGATGCCTACATTACTACTTGGCGGCAGATACAGGTAAGGTGGCAGGGCGGTACCTACTTCCCTGGACGAACTCTTTCACAAGAAGCTCTACCGCTACCAAAAATTGGCCATCACTGGATTTGCCCACCGCGGAGCATATCCTTTTTTGTAGAGGCGTTTGTCCAGCACTGAAATGTTCTAGCAGATGAAAAGAACCTTGTAATAAATAAGAAACAATACTACCATGTTTATTGGCTAATTCTTTGTAAAACAGCTTTGCTATAAGAATTAACCAGCTACATTATCCGAATAAAAGGAGATTGAACTATGACCCCACGAGTGAATGGTTAATAGTATATTAATTACAGGCATTTATCAAACGGCGGGTTGCTTCGTAGTTAGTGGCGCGTTACAAAATATTGGTGGTCACCTGCAGAGGTCTGTGGTGCCATACCTGTATGCGTTATATGTTGGTACTTATTACTAATGACGACAAAGAACGGGGCTCCAAGTATGTTAATTTTAAATTACCTCAATTACGTATCGATAGAGTAGTAGAATGGCAGGATTTTGTGTGTTTGGTATTCTGCTAAAAGTTAAAAGTAGGTACTTGTCAATGGCTAGTCCAGTCTTGTGCCTGGTGGTAAACTACACGCCTGTCCATAACAGTTGCAGTGCCATTCAGAGCTTTAAAACGCAAAGACCTGAGGTGCACTGCGCTCGTCACCCTGAGACGTAAGTAATTTCATCAGCCCCCTATACCCTTCAAAACGGGAATGTAGTAATGCTGAAATTACAGCTTCGTGGCAGAAACAGGTAAGGTGGCAGCACTTTCCTGGAAGAACTCTTCACAACAAGCTCTATTGCTACTAAACTATAACTGTACTTTTATATTCTGTTCTACGATGACAAGTTGATGGCATTGGATGACGTAGTGTTTTAATATTATACATATTTAATTAGAAGACTAAATTACTGATTAAACGAGTTAAAAATGAAGATAAGTAGAGTAATTACCATGGTAGTTTTAGTAAAGTAATAAGTAAAAATAAAAAGACATAAACAAACATACCCGAACAATTAAAACAAATGAACCGTAATGTGGGCAAAAAGGGTGAAGACTGTTGCTATGCTGATTTTCAGGCTTCACCTTAAAGCTATTCGCTTGCTGCATCAGACCGGCAAGCGGAGTGTATACTAAACAGTAAGCAATTAATAGAGGCTGAGTAACATCGACCATTAGTGACTGAAAGGATGAATGCCATCACTGCCATTCTGCCGACACTCCATTGAGGCTCAACTGCCTTTGTAACTAAATTTTAGCAGAATAACAAATATTATCATAATTGCAATAATACGTTATCAGTGAGGTCTCAATGGAATTACAATGAACAGAGGTTTCAAAAAATTAGCAGAATTGTCTTCTGGAGAATTTTCGCGCAGTCTCGGGAATTTCCGTAGCTACCGTCCCGTATTTATTTTGTACATTGCATAATTGATATAAAGTTAACTATGCTATGTACGAATTCGTTACAAAAATTGTCTTCCATTCCGTTCCGTAGAATGTAAATGAAGTCTGAAGGTAATAATCTCAGTACAGAGTACTAAAAAAACCGACCTCAAAAGTACGTGGAATTACGTCTATTTGCTAAGTTTTATTGGAATATCCTTAAATTCGCCACTATACAGGACTTGACACTCAAAGTATATGGAGAGAAAAACGCCTTGAATTGGAGAAATAGTAAAATCAACCATTAAAATAATTGCTCCTTAGTAAAATTTAGGCGCTATTTATAAAAATTAATCTTCATGCGTGAACAGCCACCCTTAGAGATGGATGATTTTCTTTAAAATGAAATGGGATCACTATGGAAGTACCCCCTTTCCAACAAAAAAAGAATCATGAAAAGCGGTTCACAAATACCGGAGTTATTGCGTAACATACGTACAAAAAAAACATACAGTCGAATTGAGACCTCCTCCTTTTTTGAAGTCGGTTAAAAAGTAAGAAAATTATTAACGGCCATGGACTTGTCACCCGTACAAATTTTCATCTTTTTTTATTAATAATTTTGGCTTGGATACAAGTCCTTCGAGCCATGTCTTCGTTTAATTATGTTTCTGTAAATATGGCCGCCACAAAGAGGGTAGGCAATTTGAGTCGGCGTGCTTGGATTGACTCGGTATTCCTTAGAACATAGACATTAATAAAATTTCGCGTTTTAATCTTCGATTAAGGCACAACTCACTATATGATAGTCCACTTTAAACTAGATTTCACAAAATAATTGAAAGTCAAAATAAAAACGACACTTTTCCCTCCAAAAGGCCCATTCAGATAGAGCGAATCTCAATTTTCATCAAGAACGTTTGGCTCTAAGTTTTGTATACAATAAGATAATTTAAAAAAAAGGAAAAAATCTCATTAAGAATCGTTGCTTGACAAAGTACCTAAACTCCGTTGTCTTTGTGTTCCTGGAAATGAATGTGAATTAAGAAAAGAAGAAAACGCAATGGCGCTAAAGTATTCTTTGGCAATTTGTTATTTCATTTCGTTTACTTGTTCGAATGAAAGAAAACAGGAAATTGTTTAGCTTAGTTGCATTTAACTCTTAAGCTATTACTTTCTCCACATCTCGTGATGAACGGATCCCTTTTTTGAACGTTTTTTTAGGAGTTTCTCCTAAACTCTTTGGAACGTACTCTGGTTTAAAAAAAAACTTTAAAACATAAAAGTTTGCTACCTTTGATAATTGATGGCGTAAATGAAATCAATTTTTTTGCCGTTTAAATTTGCTACATTGTGATAGGAAAGCATACGCTCTTCATAAACTACGTGAGATTTTGTCAATGGGATTTAGCAAAACAGAATGGATGAGTGAAAGTTGGGAGTTTTTGAAGGTTTTATTTCTGATGATAGTCTTTGTAATGAAATTTAAGTGAATAATCATGAAATCTACTGAAATAGTTTTTTAATATATTTCTTTTAAACTAATTTACTTACTCACCAATAATTACACACTGCCAGTAAAATCTGAAACAACACAAAGCAATAATTAAACACTTTAAAAACACATTAACTGCCTCGGTGGCCGAACGGTTACCATGCCGGACTGCCACGCAGAGGTCCCAGGTTCGATTCCCGGGCCGGGCGAAATATTTGTATGACCTACATTTATTTCTCTCGTGAGTTTGGGTGTAATTTGTGGTTGTCTATGTGTGTGTCCATGGCACCCGCGATACAGGGTTTCCCTAGTGCGGGGCTATGTTGAGTGTGTGCGTTATTATTATTACATTTTATCACAATAAACGTCAACATTTGTCCCCAGAAAGCATTGACTTACAATTATTTGTAAGTCAATGCCAGAAAGCGGGTGAATTATGTTGAAATACTAGCTAGAGTATACTAAGTGTTCTATAATAAAAAATTGTATTCTTTTATATTACATGGTTTGTTTGAAAAAACAAATATACGCGATTTAAATCCGGAAAAATAGTTTCATTTATTTTATGTCATTTAAAAACTTGTTTGTCACTTCAAATAAAATCACTAACTAGTGAACAACGTTTTTCTAATTTTCTCCAAGAAAACACCACAAATTATTTGTCAATATTGTGAAAGTAGTGATTTATGATTGGATCCTGTCAATGTTTGGACAGCTGTTCTCTTAATCTTCTGTAGAGACTGAAAAGTAAAATTCTAGTCCAACACAAAATCTACTCAAAGCCGCGAGAGAGAGCCAGGCCAAAGTCCTCCGTACGCTGGTGCGTCACGCTGATCAAATGCGGTTTAGGGACTTGACACGTATTCCAAAACTTGTGGACCTTCGACATGCAGGATTCGTTACGATGCCTTCACCGTTAGCAAGAGGTATAGCTACTCAACATTCGCACTTTCCATCAGGCGCGGTGCAGTCATTTTGTCGAGTCGCAATAAAAAAAAAAAAAAAAAAAAAAAAGTTAGAAATCCGAACCGTCGGCCTCGCAATCATAGTCCTCGTTCATCAAAATCAAAACAAATAGCACACACCTCCAAAAAACCTATCTTTACAGTCTATTATCAAGTCGACACATCTTAGAAACGTTCCATTATTAGGTGGAACAATGGCTCCGTTTAATTAGTGCAAAATAGACAATGATCGTTATCTTTGTATTGTTTCGTTTGCTACTCTGTGGTGATTCTGATCGTAGAAAGTCACATGTTTTAGAAGTATTGGGATAGGTTACCTGCGTCGCTGTGCTCATGGCAAGGCTCATGTATACAAACAGAACCTATCACAAATACGAATCACTTTCTTTCGAATCTCATTATTCCGAACACGAAATATTCAATTCATTGTTATATGTTGGCGAAATGAGAATCAGGAAACGAATAACTTGTCAATGTGTCTAAATAGTGAAACATTAAATGGTGTACCGTAAAAATTTAATAAATTTAAAATTAAATAATCGCCGAAAGGTTTTCGAAGAAGAAAATTCTGTAAATCATGTTTCTAACTTGTGCTTGTTAATCTACAAATTATAGAAATTCTTTTCTGGGCGACGAAAAGATAAAATCTTGGCGAAGAGTAGAAGCGTCTGCCTTCAGAGTAAGATTCAAAAAAGCCAGTGAGTTCAAATAAAGTGGCGTCATTGTAATCAAATAAATAATATTAGAATACTAGCTAGTTAATAAATATATCGAAAGCTGAAGACTATACTTCATTGAATTAAATATTCTAACTGTACATTACTTTTTCGAAATGCAAATCACACACTTTCGACCGTCAGGATTGCACTGGAAACACAAGCACTGGAAATACGACCGTAATGGCAGGGATTTGAGTAAGATTTCGAGTGCTTTAAACCATACTCAAATCCTGACTTGAGCATTGAGTAGAGTTCTAGAATACGACCCAAAGTATATTGAGAGAAAAACGCCTTGAATTGGATAATAGCAAAATCAACTATTAAAATAATTGAACCTTATAATAAAATTTAGGCGCTATTTATAAAAATGAATCTTCACGCGTGAACAGCCACCCTTAGAGGTGGATGATTTTCTTCAAAATGAAATGAGACTACTATGGAGGTACCCTCTTTCCAACAAAAAAGAATCATGAAAATCGGTTCACAAATACCGGAGTTATTGCGTAACATACATACAAGAAAAAAAAAAAATTGAGAACCTCCTCCTTTTTTTGGAAGTCTATATCTGATATCTATCTGAGACTGCCATTACGCCAGACAAGTTGACAAGTCCCATGTGCCTGTAATTTCACCAGCACCCATATTAGCCTTTAAAACTAGTTGTGCTCACATTACTGCTTGTGGCCGGAATAGGTATGGACGAACTCTTTCACAAGGAG